TTTGTAGTCTGTACTGTTCTCTATCAAATGAGACGTCCCCGAGCTCGAAGACTAGAGCCGTTCTTGAAATAATGTCAAAATACCGAGCACACCATCAGGATGCCGTTTTGTTAGGGTCTTAATAGAGCTTTATACTTGTTTTACCTCGCGTTTCTCACAGGTAAAACCAAATGATGTAATATTTTGGATTTGATTATGGTTTGACTAGACCTTTCATTTGAGATAACAAAATAAAAAAAATATTTTTTGTCCGACGGCCTGTAGCTAAGCTAGGGTGACCTTCTGACGGACTCTCTCTTAAAAAACTGTTATCCACAAAAGGGACGGGATCTAAAGAAACCGACATCGGAGCAGTTCTATACTCATCAAGTACTTTCATTTTATACTATTTCCAGCGTGGGGGAAAATCCATGATTTTCCGACCACCCCCTTTAAAAAAATCTGACATGTAAAACATCGATGACGCAAGCAAATGTGAAAGGGTTCGCTGTAATAAAGATAAATTGAGTTTAAAGATGACATTTTATAGTCAGAGCTGCAGTAGGATTGGCAAAAAAAATAATAAAATTGGAGTCAGATTGAAACTTGAAAAGTAGAGACAAAGTTGAAGCTGAGCAATAGAAGCCAAGTTGGAGTGACACTCAGTCGAATTGAACGATCTTCGACTGTTTCTCACTTGTTGTTTTTAGAGCATTCCTTATATGGATACCAAACCGATTGGTCAACTCAATCCGAAACTATTTGAGTAAGCGATTGTAATGTTTTATATCAAATAACTCCATTTGATTCGATTCTTATATAGCAATATTTCAAAGATCGAGAAAGGCATTGGTTTTGAATTCTTAATATTGTTAATAACATCACCTGGCATCATTGGTTGTTTAATAGTATCTTTCACTGTCAACTGGCAATTGACTTTGATCATGCTGTGTTTGATACCTTTGGTCATTATTAGTTCATTCGTGTTTTCTAAAGTATGAAGTATTTTTCAAATTAATTATTATGTATGTATGAATTGTTACAGTTCATTGCTAATGAAACAATGAATGAGTTAATGACATACTCAAAAGCAGGACGAATCGTTCAAGAAGTGTTTAGTTCATTGCGAACTGTTCTTTCTCTGAATGGTAGCAAATTTGAGCAAAAACGGTGAACGGACATTTAACAATATTTTCTTTATTGGATATAGTAAAACAACTGACTTTTGTTGTCATTAGATATGACAAAGAATTATATTCAACTTGTTGGAGTAGCATATGCCAAGGTGTAGTGTTTGGAGCTTTTACTGGATGGCTATCTTTGATAACCTACTTAGTTTATGCAGGTGGTTTTATCTTTGGTTCTCTTTTTATGTCAAACAAAGGTTATCATAGTTTGAATATTAGCGATATTCTTGTCGTGAGTAATTCATATAACCAGTCAATAAACAAAATGAGTATACGACTAAAATTTTTAATGCAGGTCATCTCTATCTTTACACAATATTTGAGATTCTTCAGTTTTATTGGTCCTTTTTTCCAATCATATTCAGAAGCTCGAGGTGCAGCAGCACCAGCGTTTCGACTTATTGATGAGGTAATTTCGAGTAAATTGGGGTCTTATATGGATAGCAACACTTTCTATTTGTTTACATAATATAGGGCAATGATGCAAGTATCAATGAAACCGATGTATTGAAACAAGATACAGAATCGTTTTATAATATTAATGGTGATATTAAATTTGACAATGTCAACTTTATTTATCCATCCCGTAAGGAGGTACCGGTTCTGCGTAATCTCTCTCTTATTGCTCGTGCTGGTCAGACAACTGCTCTTGTGGGCACAAGTGGCAGCGGTACGTCTTTTCCAAAATAAAAAAGTTAAAACGATTTTATTTATGTTCATGATTTTTTTATAGGAAAAAGTACATGCATATCACTTTTTCTTCGCTACTATGAACCTTCATGTGGTCAAATAACTATTGGTGATCGACCAATAACAGACTATACGGTCAAACAACTCCGAAAAAACATTGGAGTTGTGAGCCAAGAACCTGTATGTTTTGTTTTCGTTTTTCTTTTCTTTTCGTCTCTTTTCTTCCACTCTATTTAATTAAATATTGCAATAGATTCTTTTTGGAATGAGCATTTATGAGAATATCCGCTTTGGTAAAGTAAATGCAACACGAGCAGAAATTGAACAAGCAGCACGAGAAGCAAATGCACATAATTTCATTATGCAATTACCAAATGTTTGTCCTAAATATTCATTCTTATCTATGTATATGTATCGTTCCATCTTGTTTAGAAATACGAAACACTTGTTGGTGAACGTGGTATACAGTTGAGTGGTGGTGAAAAACAGCGTATTGCATTAGCTCGTGCTCTTGTCAAACAGCCTACGTTCCTTTTACTGGACGAAGCAACAAGTGCACTTGATAATATGAACGAAAACATTGTTCAAGAAGCGCTCGATCGAGCATGCAAAGGTAATAATCATTTTTTTCTGTTGATCATTCTCATATATCATTTTGTATAGGTCGTACAACTATTGTTATTGCTCATCGTTTAACTACAATTCAGAATGCTCATCAAATATATGTATTAGATAATGGACACGTGATTGAGCAAGGTACACATAAAACATTGATGGCAAAAGAAGGAGGCAAATATCAAGCAATGGTCAAACGTCAACAAATGGAAAGAATCGATGATGATAGAGATGATATGATCAGCATACAAAAAGCAACAGAAGAAGACAATAATTTGATATGTATATTAAAATTCTATTAGTAATAATCTTCACTTTTCATTGTCTTTTTTCTTTCAAAGTTGAACGCTCTCATTTACTTAATCATAGTCAAACTGTTGATGTGAAAAAAGTACGCATACTACTGCAATTATTTGTAGAAACTATTATTGACAATCTTTTTTTAGCAATTTTCGAAGCCATTCATACAAAGATTTGTCTTTTTAAGACTCTTGTCAATGAATAGTCCTGAATGGATTACCATCTTGATTGGTTGTATTGCATGCGTACTTAATGGAGCAGCTCAACCATTATTTGCAGTTTTACTTGCCAAAATAGTAGACGTGAGTAATGCACATATATATATATATATATATATTGTGCAGAAAAGATTGTCAATTTAAATCGTTTTATGGCAGGTTTTTTTTTATTGTGTAGGCTTTTAAATATTGTTCAATCTCTGAACGACGTCATCATGTGTTGATTACCAGTTGTATTTTTTTACTTTTGGGTGTGCTTTTATTAATTCTTCGTTTCTTTCAAGTAAGAATAATGCTTCTGAATTTGATCAAAGATTTATGCACTCTTTTCTATAGTATACAGCTTTTGCCATAGCAGGTTCAAAATTGACACAACGTATTCGTTCGAAAGCTTTTGCATGTCTCCTTCGTCAAGAAGTTGCTTATTTTGATCGACCTGAAAATAGTTCTGGTGCGATTTGTGCTCGGCTTTCTTCCGATGCATCAGCCATTCAACAGATGACTGGCACCCGATTAGGAGTCATTTGTGAAGCTATCGCACTGTCTTTTTTTGGCATTCTATTTGGATGTCTCATAAGTTGGCCATTAACATTGATCATTTCTGGCCCTCTTTTTATCGTATGCTTAGTTGCTTATGGAGATCTATGCTTACGTAAATGGTTGAATCAACAATCTGGTAAGATTATCGGACGAGCAAGCACGGTAAGATTAGGTTCTAGTTGATAACTCTTTTACCTTTGTACGGAAAATTATTTTATCATGAGTTGTTTGATAAATCAAATGTGGTCTATTCGTTCTTTCTTTCAATTATATAGCTTGCTGTTGAAGTTATTCACAATATGCGTACAATAAAACAATTATTAATAGAAAAGGAAGTGTTACGACAATATTCTGAACTTATGCATGAAGTATATATGTCGGTTAACCAAATCTTGTTGATACATAAATTTTTTACAACCTTTTTTTCTTATAGATTATCTTGGAAACCTTTGATACTATCTTCAATGGCATATGGTATAGTCTGGACACTAGGTATATACACTATGGCATTTGTGTATTGGCGTGGTCTCATCCTGGTTGAAAAGAACGAACTCACTTCAACCCGTATCTTAATGTAATTAAAACAATATTTTGATTATTTAGAGATAGTGTTTCATTATTTTTTGAATTTATTAGGGTTTTTGCTTTTGCTGCTTTTTCCATACCTGCGATAAGATTCATCGGAATGATGTAACAATTTCAATCTCTAGTTTGCTTTTTTTTCTTGTACTGTCTCCATCATAGACCTAGCAGTATTGCTATGTCAATCTCAGCTGCTGAACAGTTTTTTGATTTATTTGATCGAAAACCAGCTATTGATAACACATCTACCGAAGGGCAAGAATTGGTAAGAGAACACAGAAAATAACTGTTTTCTTTCAATCATGCATATATCATATATATAATATGACTTGTCAAAGGTTGACTTTCGTGGAGAAATAAAATTCGATCAAGTCAAATTTATCTATCCAACTCGGCCAACATCTATTATTTTTGACAAATTTCAATTGAATATCAAGCCAAGTAAGTGAGATAGTTTTTGATTTAATCATTTTTTTTCAATGTTCTTCCACTGATAAGGACAACATGTAGCTCTTGTTGGTAAGTTTAAAATTAGATGTTTCTTTTAAACATATAACGTAATATAACCCATACAGGTGCATCTGGATGTGGAAAATCAACAATTATTCAGCTATTGGAGCGATTCTACGATGTTACAAGTGGTCGAATAGTAAATATTTATTCAACGTATAATTTTGAGAAATTATATAAAATTTGTTCACCCAATTTAGCTTCTTGATGAAATCGATATTCGACAACTAAACTTGCAATCAGTTCGTTCCCAGTTTGGTCTTGTTAGTCAAGAACCAATTTTGTTCGATTTAACAATTGCTGAAAATATAGCATATGGCTTAGAAAATGTTTCAATGGAAGACATTATCCATGCAGCTAGTAGAGCTAATATTCATCAATTTATTGATCGATTGCCTCAGGTTAAACAAAATGCAATTATATAATGTATCTATTACTAATGTATGACATTTTATTTTAGGGTTATGAAACCAAAGTAGGATCGAAAGGTAGTTTTTTGTCAGGTGGTGAGAAGCAGCGTATTGCTATTGCTCGAATTCTTCTTCGTCGACCTAAAATATTACTCTTAGATGAAGCCACAAGTGCTATGGATTCATATAATGAACAAGTAAGTTTGTTTCGTTTTTCCATTTATCAATTAAATCTTCGTCTTCGTATTTTAATTATAGATTATACAAGAAGCTCTTGCACAAGCTCAATCAGAAGATCCTAGCCAAACATCACTTACTATTGCTCATCGTCTTTCAATTATTTGTTCATGTGATTTGCTTTGTGTACTTGATAAAGGACATATCGTAGAAAGAGGTACTCACACAGAATTAATACAGCGACGTGGAGTTTATTATAACATGGTCACTCAAAACAATTTACAATGATCGTCAGTGAACTATTTTGAATGTGAACATACACTTTGTTAAATTTTAAGAATAATTTTACATAAAAAAATTTGACATCTGATACGGTAACAGTGCTCAATTTACTTTTAAATTTTTGTTGTTTCAAAGAACTTGAGCATTCAATCAAGTTACATAATTTTACATTGATTGTTTTTAACTTATTACCCATATCTGGACTTAGTATAGATAGAACGTAGGTAGGGGTGTGAGTATAGAGTGTTAGTGTTCTCACAGCACACAGCCACACCTTTGCTGTTCTAAAGCATATATAAGGAATATATTCTGTTCTCTGAGATATTGATGAAAAATAAGAAATTCGATCATTATTATCAATAATTCTTACTTTATTTGATGGCGTGTAATTAAATGCTTTAACATGTATTTTGGGCGGCGGTCGTTGACATGGTAAAATGTCTTTTGGTTGTTCCTTCAATTTCATGATTTGTTTTTAAATAATAATGAATTGTTGATGTTGTCGAATTTTCTGTTGTGATTGGTGTAATCATGTTTCGTAATGCTATACATTGTGTATTTCGTGCCATATAAACAATTACTTGAAACACATATTGGTTGTTGCAAAGATTGTTGATCGATTGAATGAGCAAGTGATTGTTGAGAAGAAAAAGAAGAAGTAGCTGCATTTTGAAGAGCTTCAATACAAAGACTTAACAAAATATAATGATTTAGATAACTTTATTTGTATTTGATTTAAATTGCTTCCATCGTCATCATCGTAGCAACCATCTTGAATTTGTTAGTCTTTTTTTAGTTATTTGATTTTTTAAAAATAGGTTTTTGAAAGACAATGGTGAACAAGTATTTTCTTTATTGACATTTTCAATAGTTGTTATTGTGAGTTATGTTAATATTGAATTCTAATTTTGTGATGAACCATTAATTACGTCAGTTAACGATAAAGAGACTTGACTATCATATGACGCTGAACGAACATCATTTGATTAGTTATCTAATTTGTGTACGATTGTATGTTGATGAGAAAAATAATTTATTTTTGTTAATTCATTGAAAAACATACTAAAATTTCATTAACATTTCACGAGTATTAAAATCAATTTGCTCAAATGCATCGACAAATGTTGAACGAGCTATTGAATCCTGTCGATCTTATAAAAATGTTTAATGAATATTTTGAATAAATATACTACTATGTCGCATCTTACTCTTGTGTTTAATAGAGATTTATTTCCTTTCTTTCTCTATTTCTTTCTGAAGCTCGTTTCAATTTACACTTCCTCTTCTGTCCTGATACCCTGGATCAAATGTTAACATACGAAGATAAAGAAACAACGGTAGATTTTCTTTGATTCTAACTATAGATTTTACAGATATAAATAGTTAATGCAATTACATTCGTTTATCATTTTCATCTTTCAGATAGCCATACTTTTTGCCGATGGGATGTCCGGTGTACTTGCTTAAGATAGCCGTGGTAATGATGTACGACAGAGGAATTCGAAGAATTGAGTGCGATTGAAACAAATATGATGATAAGAAGAATAGATTTTTTGCGAATACTCACATCACTTATTCCTTTGTTTCAGGAAGACCATGAATAAGCAAAACAAACAGAACAAGGATTCACATTTCTATAAAGGTTGCAATCACAAACTTGAAAAGATTTGTGATACTGATCGTCATTAACCTGGGTGTTAATTTGGAATTCCGTAATTTTGAAGAAATAGGAGATTATTTAATTGACTTTGATAATAATTTCTTTGAAAACCGAAAAAGGTGGTGCTGTTCTCAATCAATCAAGTATAGTAAAATAACATGACAACTTTGGTACAGTCGACAAATAAGCAGTGACAAGGAAAATATATTTACTGTGAATACTCACATTAATCTATATGTTGTAGAAAGTACCTAAACAAGAGACACAAGAAAGTCAACAATGCATCATTCATCAAAATTTTGAAGTAGAGCTGCGTAATAAAACACAAGAATTATTTTATTGTTATAAAAATCTATTTCAAAATCGAAAAAGAGGATGTTGGTATGGATATTGGTCTTCTCTTCTCCAAAAGCTACAGTTACATCAAGAGTAGAGTGTGAGTGTAAGTACGGAATGTGCGTGTACCTCTTCTTTCAACTTCAACCCATCAGATCCACATCCACCCTTTATGATATTAACTTTTTACAAAAGTGCATTGCTGTGTTTTTGGATACATGCGTTACATAAAGAAAACTAGTATATCCAGTTGGACTTTCCTCAGTAAAATGACAGGCATGAGCACCCATACAAGTACTAGCTCGGTAAACATACTGGCATGGGTATCTAAGAAAGTACCTACATCAGTATAATTACTTGGAATTTTCAAAGTATCAACATCGAATACCTTGTGAAGACCTTTTCAGTATATGAATGCCCTGAACTTAGTACTTTTTCTAGGGAGTATATTTACTACCATAAAGCTTATTTCATAGCAATAAAACAAAGCTGATCATGGTATTTTTTTCAGAGAAAAGCTTAACGATAATGTTGCAATTATTTCTTTCATTTTAAAAATCTGGACGACAGTTTTAAAGTATTATCAGCATTGTAAACGAATATTGAATCAATCAATGCAACAACCGCATCAACCAATTTTTAATAAAATTATCGCAATTACTGAATAATACTTGCATTGATTAGATTTTTTCAACTTAAAATCGGATCGGTCGATCATGAATGTATAGAGAATTTTCTAAACAGAGGAGGGAAAGAGGAGTAAAATCAGATTTATCTGTGTCCATCTTTGATACCATTTTTTATTGAACATGTGCATGATGAATGTGTCGTAATATGTTTTTATTCATCATTAATCATATTTGATTATCACTCGGTACAACTAGAAAATCAGAAAAGAAGAAGAAAATAAATAGTATACAGAGACATTTTTATTAAATCTCTTTTGTAAAATTTAACCTACTTATTGATTTTGCAACTTCGTCAATAACACTTTCGATATTCAATTGTTGAGCGACATTGTTATAAATATTGACCATAGTTAAATCAGTTAATCGTTCATCACCTGTTTGATGCGATAAATATGTTGTGATTAAATTTAAAATAGAAAATGAACGTTCGGCATCAGTTATGGACACAGGAATAAATGCATTGAGTAGTTAACTATTGACAATATAAGACGGGATTAACTTCGAGATAATCATAGCAAGTTTTTGGTTTTCAGCAAATCTCCTTCCAAGTTCTTCAAATGCCATGCTGATGAATGTTCTGTATATCTAGAATATTGAGAATTTGTGTTTATGAAAATTTTTACTAATACATTCATAAATTTCTTAAGTCTATAAAAGAGACATCTTTCACTATTTAACAGTAGTGACATGCTGCTCTTGCTAAACGATTATCGATATCATTAAGTTCGACAAATTTAATAAATTCATTATAAAGTTCATCTAACTGATCATTATCGTAAATTAACTCTGCTAGGCAGATTGAAGTTTGTTCTATATTTTAGTAACATTTAACAAGATCCCATGTTAGCTTTGCAGCTCCCCAATATATGGTTTGGTGATATACAGAATACACGATTAGTAATAATGAGAGGTACATCAAAATAAATATGACTCAATACTTTTTCATAGCTTCAAACATGTCTACTTGTTTCTGAATCACCATTGTCGACTAAATAATCTGAAGCAATAATAACAGCTCAATTTAGTTGTTTAAATACAAGAGTAGATGTTTGTTTTTCAACCCATCATGTTTCGTATAATTTAACAAGTTGCCTACACTTGATTTCATTAGTAATTGATTTAATAGCTTTCGCTCACATTGTTTTTCGTTTTGCTAATGCAATAATAAATTTAATAATATACTGTATCGTTTCCAAATACGTTTTTATTACTTGAAAAATACAAATATGAGCAATGACTACATGTACAGAGTGGCTTGAGCAGTGAGCATATACAGCACATTGTACAATATTTCTTACTAAATTTTCAGCACCACCTAATTTTCGAGTCTATGGGCTTTTTTATTTCAAACTGAATTCTAAAATCAAAAAAACCGCACCAACTTCTTCCGAATCAAACTTTTCTCGTTTGATACTACGTAGTCCCACTAAAAACCCTTAGTCCCCCCTAGTCCTGCAAAGTCCCCCTTAGTCCCCCCCACAAAAAGCTTAGTCCCCGCTTAGTCCCTTGTGCAGGGGACTAAAGCCTATAGTACACAAAGCCACAAGCACACCCTCACCCTCACTCGCGCGCCCACACCCGCACCATGGGTGTGGGTGTGTGTGTGGGTCCCAGACCAACACCCACACCCTCAGTCACTCCCCCCCCCCCTCACTCCTAGACTCACGTTTCAGTTTGAAATCAAGTATTATTTTTATTTGATAAATTCAGACTGAAATTAAATAGCCCATAGTATGTAATTTTCAAGCAATACTACTAGCCCCATCATATTCTTACCCTAAAAATACACAAATCTGTTAAGTTTTTTAAGTACCACCAAGGAACGTACTATGAAGTTATTCCATATTATGAGCATAATTCTTGATGAAAAGGATAATGGGTTGGATAATGTCTATAGCAGCCAAATTCAACAAAGGTTTAAATTTAAGGAAGATCTTTTTTATTGATATACCATTTTCTTCAGAAACCACGGAATAAAATTTATTTTAATCGATTAATTCATTTGATTCATTCAAGGATAAAACTTGCACAAATATTAATCAATTCAATTTGTATATTTGGGCCCATTTATGTAGCATTCCTTTGATGATGTTTTAAATGCATCTCCAGTGCCTTATCTCTAGCTTTGGCTTCAAATAATATTAATGATTTAAAATTACTTTGACTAGTATTTGTCATGCTCTAGTATACCCAGGTCATCGTTACTCCGGTATGCTACATTTTGTTTCGATAAAAAAATGCAATACATTTAATTATATAAATCGAATGAAAATGACGATTATTGCATTCAGTTGCTTGAGAAATGAGCCGATAAATAATCA